TGTTCACCTCATCCTGTCAACTGTCACATTATTAAACCTTGTTAGAAGCATCTGCTAAAAATACGTAAAAGTTACTTCAAAGAAAAGTACGCCTAATGGTTCAGATAAACATGCAAAGTCAAACCAATGCCTCTCTTTGGTTAAAATTAACATAATTACAAAAACTTCCACTTGTAGACATCTTTCATTTCAGAATGTCTCCTCCACCCTGAGCCTACAGAACCGGGTCTCTTTCTGCAAGTATAAAAGGTAGCCTGGATCTTTCCACCCATCTATAGAGCTCCTCCGTTTCACTGCTACACTCCAGAACTGCACGGATCTGAATTGCTTACTAGAGAATGAAACAACGTCCTTACTCAACTGTAGCAGCAAGCTACCTGAATTCAGAACAAGATTTATGGCACATACCTTGGATGGAAGAATGTGTCAGGAATTCATTAATTAATCAATTTCCTATTCTGGAATCTGATGATTTAATCTGATCTACAGACAGTGTAGACAGTAGTTTAAAAAAAAAAATTCAACAGGTAGATCTGCTTATGAAGAAAAATATATTACCATTATAAGATCATCTTTTGGAGGACATTGCTACAGAAAGACGTTTCAGCTGAGGTCTGAAGGCCAGACTACCCATATGTGATAAAACTAGTGGTAAATGAGCAGTTGGAAGCTTTTCACATTTCCTTTAGGGTGACTCAATCCCCTTGTGTCTTGGAATCCATCCTGGAACATGCTCCAGTAGGCTGCAATCCTTCCCCAAACAAGTGTCTTCAGCTGAACACCTTGTGGAAGCATTACCTTGTTCAAACTGGCTATAAAGGATTCCAAATGCAGAACTATGAAAACTTTACTGAAATCCATGAGAGCTGCCTGATGAACCAAACCTATGAACTAATTCCTCATGTGCAATTTCTCCTTTATAACTTCTCAATGTTTCTACTTGTTGGGCATGAAACAGGTGGGGTATGGGAATGCGCAAAGGATGTGTAAGAACCTAGAATGACAGGACACAGGGTGCCTGAACAGACATTTTAACTGAGATAAATAATAAAGTAACATAGCATGAAGTAAAATGAGAGAGGAATATCCTGCATGATACATGCATTTCTGATGGAATCAAACAGATGCCTTCAACCTGGTAAGTGAAGAAACTGGACTAAGCTCTTGATTTAAGCATCTCTATGTTTATGTATTTGCTGTGGATAGGCATGTAAGTCTCAACTGCCTTTGGTCTTTTCCAGGATACAAATAAGTTTGATCAGTCCATGTAATTGACCAGTATTTTATGTAGCCCCTCTATAAACAGGGCTCAGTCTGTTTATTGTGAGACTTAAGACTGGCTTTGAACAACAATCTGTTCTCTAATATTTCTACCAGACATAGTACCTGGCTGAGCTGGATGCTATTCCTTTTGTTGCAAGTTCTCCCAAGAATATTTTTTCTGGGGAGTGAATGCCTCTTGGTGTCTTCAGTGATATGAAAATGTAAAAAAACCCACAAATGGAATAACACAACTCAGTGATTGATTCAATTAAAGACTCAACACTGGCCTATATTTTGTTATATTAGAAAACAGCAGAGAAGGAAAATTATTTACTTCTCTCACAAAGTCATGTCTAACAATTATACACGGAAGAGATGAGATGGAACTCTGGACCACCACTTTGTCTGCAGCGGAGAATAAGAGCCTAGCTTATATCTAAAGGAACTGTCATTAATCTCTTTTCTCCTGCAGATATACTGGAACTGTTTTCGGTAACTGTGGAAAAGTCAAGTCAAATTGTTGGTGCCTAAGGAGAAAACAGACCAAGATCTAGAATTCAAGGGTTCCTCACGCAGAAAATGAAATAATTTCAATATAAAAGTAATTTTTTTCATATGGTTTCTACTAAGATAGTTTTTTTCAATTTTAAATTACCTAACAGAACACATTTCTTTTTCTGCTTGTTTCCCATGAAAGAAAGCTTCTCAATACAGCATATTTATGAAATATTCTTGCTGAAAATATTAAGACCATAGATAAAATACAGAAGCAAATATTACCCTGCCAAATGCAAACAATGGGCTTAAAAGGTATTCTGTGTTAATAATCAGGCACTTTGCTTTATATAACATATTCAGTAAAGTCAAAATAATACTTTTTAGAAATTTTTTTTGCATAATAACTGCAAACTAGCTGAGTATGCACAATATACTTATAGCTCTGCATACTCCTAGGACCCAAATCCCAGAAGCTTTCATATGAACAGTACCTACTATAGTGATGAGTCACTTAGAATATTGTAGTAATCTTATTTGGTATTTCATCCAAATAAAAATATGCTTATAGGACTAGGCCCTTAGCTAGGAGCAATGTAGTAATGCATGATGGAAGATATATTTCTTGATTAATCACCTAATTCCATATTGTTTGAGATATTATAGGATCTCGCTTGTAAAATCTAGCTTACCGTTTACTAGACAAATGCAGCATACAGCTATGCTCAACAAAAAGTTGCGTATGACTTTCATTAATGAGTTACCCCAGAGTTAAAAGAAGAGACAAGTTTTTCACTTTTAGGGAGAAAAAAAACCAAAAGCACCAAATGTGCTAAATAAGAGACAGCAAGGTTAGGTAGTAGCGTGGAATTTTTTAGGTCTTATTCCTCTGCAGCTAGGTACTGCCAGTATGGGAAAGCCATAGAAACACAGTGGCAGCAACACTTATCTTATATTCCTATTCTCTACAAACATGCAGTGGTGACACTTTGTCATGGAAATGCTCAGAAAGTGTGACTGTATACAGCAATCTGCTCTAGGATGGCATATGGTGCAGTTTTAACGGAATGCCTAGGTACTCATTTCACTTTACCTCATCTTTGGCACACAGGAATCTGTACACACATTCTCGTATTCCTATGCTGTTCAGATATTCTTAATTGGCACAGATGAATTAAATATGCATATATGTAGACACACGGCACATAGGTACTATACGGGAGAGAAATTTCCTGTAAAGAAGGCAATGCCTGTGTTACACAAGCTGCCCAGTTAAGATATGTATTTCACTGGCACTTCACTGCTACAAAAACTATTAAACTATAACAGCACTCAGGCACCGTGCCATCAAATCCGAAATGCATACAGTGTAGGTGGCTAGATCATACACATTTAATGCCATGATTCTCAGCTGGGAACATTAAATCATATCTGCCAGTATTTTCCATGCTTAAAATGAAGATTTGCCTTCTGTAATCTAGCTTTAAGTTGCATCAAGAAAATACCATGAATTAAACCAATGTCCAATTCCGATCAAGAGAATTCATGTTCTCTGAATTGTGAATACAGAAAGTCATTAAACAGTCAAAGCTTCTATTAGTTGCCATTCAGAAGCCAATACAAAGTAGTCCTATTTCAGGGGTCCTGTTAGGTGGATGCAAACTTCTATGTAAGATAACTTAAAATGGATTAAAAATAATGTGTTCTTCTCTTTTTAAAACAAGTCTGTTCAAATTTGTCAAAACAACAAGCACAACTGTTGAGAAAAAAATTGTCCCCTGAACCAAGCAGACATTATGCTTAAGCGTACTACCATTAGTTTTATGATAAACTGAAACAGGCATTTTATGTCAAGTGAATCTACAGTGAAAATTCTGGTATAAAAACACGTGAAATATATAAAAACTGTAAGGTGTCATTTGTATGTGCATGTAAATATTTACAAATAATATCCTATTTCTACCGTACAAAACAACTGTATATACTAAAGAGAAGAATGATTTGCAATTAGCATGCATGCTCTGCTCTTCCAAGCTGCTCCATGAGGAGGACCTCTATCTACACAAAGAACTTATTTTTCCCTAGAGACTCTGCAGAGGAGAAGGGCCCTCCCTACGTGGAGTATCTTCTGGTTTCTGTCATAGACCGGGCGGGCAAAAAGACGACCGCTTCCTGCAGCCAGCATGTACACCCCTTCCCATCTACAGCGTGGGCAAACCAGTGCCTATACCAGTCAGCACACTATGCCTGCAGAAAGGCGCAGCAGCTTCCTAAACGCTTTGCTTGCCCAGTTCACTGGCATCTGCACAATATGTGCAACCTTGACCTGCAATGGCAGGTTTCCTAAACAGACTACTGACAGCACCTTTATTTCTGCATGTCATATGGGCTTTGGAGCACAATGATAGAAGTTAACCCGACTATATATGAATTCCTCAAGTCATCAATGTTAGAACTCCTACTAACATTGAAGGGGCCAGATTTAATCTACAACATGCTTCTTTCTCCTACAGAAACATACTAATGTACATGAACAAAAATTTACAAAGCAGTAACAGCCTTGCATCTATCTTTTATACTTGATCCCAAGATAGAATTTTCACTTTGTCTTATCTAAGTATGATTAGATCACTCTATAGTAGCTTCTGAAAAGTTGATTTGGTTCCTTTTTGCTGTATGCAAAAGGCTAAGAAAGTGAACAGTTATCTACAATACTAGCAGGCATGTATTAAGTAGAAATTACATAAAGGTACTGAACTATAAGTATCTCCACAGAATTTGAAGTGAAAAACTCAACTGGCTTTTAAGCAGAGCAAAGACAACGGAAGACCACAGAAAACATATGCATTACTATGCTCCCTGCAACATTACCAGAAACCTCATAAACATTCTATACTAGAACCATCACACTTGCAATACCTAAGGCAACAATCACTTTTTATCCAGCACTACCAGGTCTTAGGAAAAAGAAGACCTGAACAATTATTTTGGTCAGACTGCTTATCTTCAGTATTGCATTACCTCTAATTTTATGGAAATATGAATGAAAGTTTCTATGATGAATTCTAAACTCCAGATAGTCACAAGAGATATATAATGTAATTAAAGCTATATATTATTTTTGTTTTAGCATATTATATACCTCCAACCAATCTTAAAAGGAAATGCAATAATTATGTAAAATTTTGCCTTGGTTGGAATCTTACAGTGAAATTTATTTGTTCCATAGACACTTAGATTATTTTTAACTTCCTTTTTGTGGAGGCTGTACTAGAAGAAATGTAATCTGACCAGAAGCCACTTTCCAAAAATAGCTTGTATCCCAAATTCCAATCTTTAGGGAAACCACAGAAAAGTGCAATCACAAAGGCTGCGATGCTTTTAAGCAATATTAGCAGAATCTGTTTAGAAGATTTAAAATTACTGTTTTGAATTACCATGTTCTACATCTCTTGTTAAAGGTAATTAATCTTCATTCACTGCAAAAGGACTGTTGCACACTCATGAGTGAGCTATACCTGGACCCATGAGAAGCTTATCAAGAAAAAGGTAGTGGCTCAATCACCACTTTTCTAAATATATTTTCTATACAAAATATTTTCAAGGTATAATCCTTAGTTATTTGTACAGTACTCTATGATTTAAACAACAATATTCAGTAAAATAGTAAGTGTGTGAAACTGCAACACCACATGGAATGAGCACTCTGCCATTTTGCTAGTGTAACCAATATTAGGACCAGAAAAATTTTCTAACACGCAAGCAAAAATATTCCATAGTTTTTGAATCTTGACTGTACACTTGATGATTTTGGCTATGATTTGCAGCACACTCGTAAGATACACAAATATCTTATGCACATTTCAGTAGCAGAATGGCACTTGGCTTGCTCTAATAGAAACAACAGAGATGCAACTGACAATTTTAAGAAAGACAATGTCCTTATTTGCATGCTGAAAATCTGGTTGTGTCCCCCTAATCCAGGCACATCCATTCATTGTGCAATCTGTCGATGGGTAAACAAATAGTGCAGGATTCATCTCAGTGGGATCTGGCCCTTTGGTCTAACCGAAGTCAATTCTAGGTCGATACTGAAGTACCATAGGGTAAGACTACAAACAAAAGCAAGAGAAAAACAACAACAAAGACAAGAAAACATGAAGACATAATTCATAAAAAATACAAAGAAAATGCAGTTAAAGATTGCCTTAAGAATAGCCAGAGCGTATCCCTAAGACACATGTATATGGCAATCAGTTTTATTTATATAAAATAATTCTATACATTTCAACAGTTAAATCCATACCTATACTTCAAATCTGTATTTAATCTCTAAGTCAGTTAGTTGTAGTTATTTCTCATTAATATAAAATTCCCATATCTGCTTTTATATATTTCATGATTTATATGTTTTACAACATATATACTTGGAGTGCTCAAACAACTCCTCTTATTTCTGTGTTGCTGTGTTTGAGGAAAAGCAATCTTGAAATTTTATACTTTCTAAAACAAAGTCTATTTATAGATGATGTACTTTGTTTGATTTTTATATATATGGAGGTTCCATAGCTATACTAGTAGTCAGCACTAGTTAAAGGGAGCCACGCTACTCTCGTATTAAAAAGAAAAAAAGATCAGGTCAAATTACTGTCAGCTGATTTTCTGAGATGAGGGCTAACTTTTCCCTCAAATCCAAACTCCTCAACTTCAGATCTAGTCATACATTTTTAATGGTTCTTACTGGAAAAAAAATGGCAAATCAACTGCTTGGATCCCTGAACTGGACAAAACTGTTGTGGAATGGGAGGCAAGAGTGGGTAGGTTTCCAGAAAAGTGCTGTGGAATACCTGGGCACTTGTTGCTGGAACTTCTGTTTTACTAAACATCTTACTTCTTCAGTCTGTCAGCATTTCATTTAAGTCTGATGTTTTCCTCTTAACTTCATTAGGATACTGGATGTTTTCTATAGCACAAAACCCAGGAAAATCCTATTGTCTCAGCAACTGTATGGGCTTAACTACCTCTCTGCCACAGGGCAGAGGAACATCTCTAATGTAAGTCTTTTTTCATTGCAAATTTGGAATTATAAAGAATTATTACAGAACCTATCATTAAAACGAGAAATATTTTACTGCATCCTTCAAATGCAATACAGATGAACTTCAATGACCAAAAAAGAAAGATATCACTGCAGAGACCTATACAGGTTAATAAACTTCCCACGCCATGGTAGTGAAATGATCACCAGAACTAGATGTGATCATACTTGCTGGGGATTTACAAACTGGAGTGCAGAGAAATCAAAACATAAAATCAGAGGTATTCAACAATAGCAGGAGTGTTTAGAAGAGAAGACAGGAAGCACCATGTGTAGGCTGCATGTGCAATTAACAAACTTATATTTGTAGTATCATAAGTTACATGGTCTTTGATTTTTTTGCATCGGATGAGACTACCATATTATTTAAATGCTATTTCACATGTTTTTCACTTTGATTATATAAATTGTCTCTAAAAGTACTCAACTCTAATTGGAAGTGCACACAGGCAGAGACAGAGCTGTCACCTCACTGCAATTGCCATGTAAACCAGCGAGGCTCAGTGTTTTTTGCAAACAAAATTACAAACCAACTGTATAAATAGAATGCAGTGTGCTGGAACAATTCTAATTATTGAGGTAGGCACGACTGCAGCAGGTCACTCCCATCCATAGTGGGGAGTGACCCTCTATCATGAACTTTAATTTTTTGCTCAAGCAAAAATATTATTTCAAACTTCCAAGGTAACTTTTAGAAATCAGTTCAAATCAAAATTCTCAATGAGGAAACTGAAATACAGTTTCATATAGGTACGAACCAGTTTGATCAATGAAATTTAGAAATCAACTTCAGTTTGCAGGTTCTGGAGGTTCTGGTTTGTTATATTCTAGAAATAAGGCATTACTCCATATCTAATTTTAAAAGATGTGAAAGGAATACAGTATTAGAAAAATCCAACATTTCTTTACTCCATTAAAAAGAACATATGAATTGCCATGAAGAGATGAAACCAATGTAGTCTCTTTTGATTCATGCTCTTCAGTTTTGATCCCTTGACAGTGACTGCCCAATGCTACTATTAGAAGGATGAGATAGGAAGAGGTAGATAATCCTTCCAGACTGATGCAGATATCAGCCTACAAAATGATATCTCTCTAACAAAAAGATAAATGGGGTAATGTAAAGTGAAAGAAACCCCTAAACCTTTTGAATGGATTCTATTTATTCATTCAATAAAGCTTTCTCTGAATGAACAAAATTGCTCAGGCCTTGCTCATAGAGCTTTAGCAATTTGTAGTGAGGAATTATAAAAGCTCCACAACTTGGATTACAACTGAAGTGCTGACAGGACCTTAATGACTGTAGTATGTACAGTCGTGAGTGCCTCTTACCTGATAAAAAGTGCCATCCTGTGAGCAGACTTGCGAAGATGAGCAGTTCTGACACCGAAACTGCGGAGGAGATGATTTTCTGATCAGATAAGAGGCATTCACAGCTGGACATACACATTTACCATTTAATGTATTTTTTTAAATTTTCACATGTAAAGCTTAAAATTAATTTACTTATTTAAAACAGGAAAGAATTCTCTAATGAATAAATGGATATTTTCCCTTTACTACTCTACCTCTTGTAAGGTCCACAGGTGTGCCAGTAAAAGCTTATGGTGAATAGTACCAAAGACGGAGATAATGGATTTACTTGATCTTCATCCAAAAGAAGAGATTGTTAATTAATTACCACCACAACTTCTGTTTTATAACAAGACCCAACACAGTTAGGGAAAATAAAATCATAAAGCCCAGATGTTACTGGATTTATTACCAGCACAATGTAATTTTTACAAGTTTTAGTTTGTCATCTCTGACTTCAGGGAGGTGATTTAAAACTACATAAAGGAAAAGATGAACACATACCTGACTCTACTATGTGTATGTAAATACAACCTACAAATTTAATCAAGAGTTGTCAACTCTTATATTCACTTAATGTTAAAAACTATAGTTCTGAGTTTTTTGAAAAATGTTAACCAGTACAAATAACGTCCTTTTGTCAAGATGATAGTTACTGTTGCTTCCAAACCAATGCAACTGCCAAAAGTCCATTTGTAGGCAGGGGCTGCAGAATTAAATGTCATGAAAGAATTCCATTATCACTAAAGTTGTTGCCTCAACATTTCCTAATAGTGCAGCCAATGCTAATAAAAATATAAGATGGCAAACCAAACAAACACCCACTGGTTTCAAGGCAGTATTGGAAAAAACACTACTTAAAGCTCCCTTATTGGTGCAATATTGAGGTTACAGCAATCATCAAGTTTCAGTGCAATATTACTTTCAAATTTAATGAATACTTGCCTATATACGTTAACTCCCCTAATTCGTATCAAAATCTATCCTTCCCCCTCCCGCTTCAGATTAAGGTAAAAATTTAAGAAACTTGTGAATTGTTAATTCCACAGTGTGCTCCTCTGTCTTCTCTGTCCGTGCCCCAGTGCTTTTTATTCTGAGTACTAGGAAGCTTAAAAAAAAAAAAAAAAAAAAAAGGCAAAGCAGCGTACAGAAAGTTTGGAATTTTCTACAGATCAGTACATTAACATACGTCTTAACCTTAGCTGCACTCCAATATAGCCTCCACTGGTAGTGATAGACAAAAAATCTGCATATACTACAAAGCAATAAAGAGTGAAGAACAATCAACAGCCATACACAAATGAATGTATAAAAGAAAGAAGAAATGGGGATATGACTTTTAACCAAAAAAAAAACCAACACCCCAAACCAAACAAGGCAATATAAGGGCTACTAAATCAAACTGAATATCAGACCTGAAAGAAATGTCTTTTAATAAATTAAATATTGCAATTCTAAAATATACACATGCAACAGGGAAAACCCATTTAGCTGTGTTATCTGGATGTTAGTGTTATACAACATATCTAAAAAAAAAATGGGTGTAGTATTAACAGAAACAGTAATAAAACAATTAGATTTCTCCAATAATTTTTCAACGTCACTTTCAGTTTACTACTGAATTAAACAGACCCATAATAAAGAACTGCTGGATGCCGATTCCCCAACTACTACAACTCAAAAGGTCACTAAAAGCAAATTTGCAGACAAAGAACAAGTGCTTGGGTTTTCAGATACTTGACTTAAGACTCAGAGCAGAACTTGTATGTAAACTTTGTATACCTGCTATTTTTAAGTTTCAGAATCTGCACAATATATATGCTGCAGGGTTTCACTCATAGGGTTTAACATAAGAAATCCAGAAAACATGCAAAATGTGTTTTTAAATAAGGGTTTTTTGAAGGGTCACAGAATATATTTTGAACCAAGCTGTGAAAGCATGTATACTCTCTATAATAAATATACCAAAACACCATTTATTAATAATGTAACAGCATTTACGTTTTCGCCTCTTAGTCTCCATCTCGTCATGTAGATGAATTCCATAGTATGATCCTTCCCCATGATTTCTCCATTGCATAGTACATCCAGCTTAAAATACAACAGAACAAACAGTAAGACAAAGGGATGCAAAATTTGAATGTCTAAATGAACTCATAAGACAATCTCTGAGAGTTAATCCCTCAACTCCTATCATTATACAATAATTCCATCACACATGTATATCAAACCTGGATAAATACAACATACTGACAATAAACTATACTGCTATTTTTAATAATAGTATTCCACTTCATTTTTTCACTTTTGTGTTTTCAATTAAGATGTGGACAGAAGAAAGCCTACTAAACTAGGTAGGAAATCACTAGCAGACAAACATTCCCTATATTTATCAATACTACACGCTATCTGTTTGAAGAGAAAGCCTTGTGCTGTATTTTGAAGGCCTTCTTGCTACGTCAACACT